GGGAAACAAGGCAGTAGAAGTTGAAAAAGATTAAAGCACTGCTCATGTGATTTGCTCACACTTTCCAGACCTGCCTGAGCCCAGTCTTCCATACCATTTCCATCTGATCAGAGCTTGCTGCTGCTTATAGATAACTTTAAAGCAGAGTGGATGAAGCAACACCAAGTTCATAAAGAGAAGTCCAGGGTACATGGTCCCTTAATGTCCTATGGTTAGGCATTCAGTGATTCAGCCTGAGCCAGGCTGGATCACAAAATCTAAATGGTATTTTTACTGCAACCTAAACTCAATGCAAAGCCATCTTTTGGTCTACTCCACGCTCCTACTGGCAAACTTCGAGGTGATCACCTTTTGGAGTTGTTCATTCTGTTGTCCCTCCCTCATCCTCAACCCCCAAATCCACCGAGCAGTTTTTGTGGTAGGTGGTGTATAGTGCAGAATTGTTTGGCGCCTTGAAGGGAATATTTCAGCATGCTTCATGCAAACCTCATTGAGTTTTTAGCCACTGAACTTTATGGGGTTTCAGTCCACCCTCTGGTTTACACAAGTCTTTGAAAAGTACTTCTTGTTCTATCTTCTCATTGTATGTAATCAGTATAACGCCATCATTAGAGTTGCAGGATGATTTGTGGACTACTGGGATGGCAGATAGCAAAAGAACTGATGCTTTTCAGTGACAAGACTCTGAGAGTATACTGTTGTTTAGCCAAGTAAAGGAAGAATGCTTCTTGCAAGTTGATAAGGAGAAAAGGGGATTAGACAGGCCACGCTGCATATCAGACTGGTTCGATGAAGATTAGCACATCAGATTATATGGGTCAGATAGTCAATGTGTGTGGGGATTCTTTAACTTACTTAAATATGTCTACCAAATATACATTCTGGAACTGGGGAGGAAATCATAAAGTAGCTCTACAGATGAACTGGAAGACTACTGTGAGTCAAACTTAGTAAGATTTTTATCTCTCACCTGAACATAATAATCCGTCTTTTGCTGATGGGCCACAGTTGGTATTTTAGGCACCCAAGAATTAGCTTCAGTTCTGAGCCAGCATCTAGCAATCTCTATAAGGTCTAGGTATTTACAGCTCCTCAGTATGCAATCATTGTTGTAAATGGCTACATTTACCTCGATGAAGGCTTGCAGGAAAGTTTATGGTATGTATTATGCCAAGGTGCAAAGTCCTTCCTTAAGAAGATCTGGTCTCTAATCAAGAGATTTGGGTCTGAGAGGACTTTAGTCTGGAAAATAGGTGATAGGCTTAAGTCTATTAACTGTGACAGATCAGAACAAAACTCTCTAGGGTTTTCTTCCTTAATCTCATCTATGTTTCATTACTGGAGTCCCCATGTCTGCTTCTTAGGATCCCGACAGGACAAAACACTTAGATGACAGCTCTGTGGAGCTGATGTGCACACTTTCCCCAATGAAGTGCTGCCACTTCTGTCCACCCTCTCAATGAAAACCAAGAAGCTCATTGTGGTGATGGCATTCCCCCAGGTAGCATGTCCATATCTGGCTTACGAAGAGGAGCGAGCACAGAACTCTTCAAAGGTGTAGGTATCCCCTTCTCTAAAGCATTTTCATTGTCTCAGAGAAAGAACTTCTAAGTCTCCCTTCCTATAGCTCTTGTGTTTGTGTGTTGTATGTGGGTCAATGTGACATATGATAAATCCAGAGCAAATCTCTATTCCCTTCTCTCATAATTGAGCTTCCTCTTCTACATCATGTGTCACCATCTGCATTCAATGTTGAAGTTCAGTAAACTTACCAAGTAATTCGGTGGGCACCTTCAGTTTCATGAACCAACACAATAAGATTGGGAGTGTGTGATCTAGTATTGATGAAGTGAGGAGAATGGGTCTAAGCAAAAAGTGTTCTTGATTTGCATGCTTCATGCAAACCTCATTGAGTTTTTAGCCACTGAACTTTATGGGGTTTCAGTCCACCCTCTGGTTTACACAAGTCTTTGAAAAGTACTTCTTGTTCTATCTTCTCATTGTTTTTGGCCATATAACTGGTGTGTTAGTTGTATTCAGAGCAGTAGGGTTTTGTGATTAGAGTCCCTCTGCTGCTGGCTAGTGCTCCAATAAGGACTCCAAATTTGGCTCCTCTGTTCTTGTGACTGGATCTACCATACAATATCACCTACTGCCTTCCTAGATCAAAACACAGATCTATTTTATGCTGTTTCCTAGATTTCTACTGGTGCGCATTAGCAAAATTTTTGTAATTTGTTTGGTATGTAAACTTTAATTCTATGTCGGTGTGTATTTACCCAGCAAAAGCACTCACATTGGATCTAATGGCAGTGGTGCAGACTGGCAATGGGTTGTCGTGGGTCCAGTGTAGAATGATCCTTTTTAAACTGTCAGCTCTAGATGATGATTTTTCAGTGTTTTCTAGCAAAGATGACTAAAGTCTCCTCAGACATGAAGCAATAAGCCACTTCCACTGCCAACAAAGGATCTGGGTGAATTGGGTATTCAAGAATGCCAATTATCTGTCTGGGCAGAGAATTTCAAGCTTGGAAGTTTTATTCTTTATTGTATTCTTTATTCTTTCCCAACTGATGCCTTAACTTTCACAAGAAAAACTCGCAAGGCCATAAATTGAACTAACATTGTGATGGAGCCCATAGGGAGGTATCAAAGACTGCTAGCTATTGTGACTGAAGAGTCTGGCTAGATAGCACATCCAGGAATAAGGAATAACAGCCTTTCCTCTTCTAATTGTCACCTCAAATCCTCTACTGAGGAAGCTTACTGTTCATTGTACCTATTGACAAGGTAGAGAGGATCCAATATTCTAAACCAGGCAATGAAGGGTGGGCTTGGAGCTGAGAATCCATGGGGCTAACGGGCAACACACTTGATCCACATTCATTCTCCCAGTCTTTACTACTATCACCAACACCCAAATCATACATAAATACTACAAATAGAAAGAAAGTCTCAAATGAGCATGCCAAGACCACAAAGAACATCTAATAGACTATATATATATATACATGGATTGAGTCTACTCAAGATTTCCTGGCTCTAGCACTTTAAAGTTCTGTATCCTGGGAAATCTCTCAGTGCCAGATTAATGGATTGATTTCTCACCCTACATGGGTCCATGACATTTCCACACTTCCTATGCATCAAAATTACCTTAGGCCTGCTAAAAATGTTAGTGGTCCTACTTAAAAAAAAAAAAATACAGTGGTTTCAGATGCCAACAAGTCATGAACTTTTTTTTTTGAAACATTCTATTTGGGGACTTAACAAGTGTTAAACACTACTTTTAGAGACTCCTCAATCCAGGCTTATTAGTTTCTGATCCAAAACTATAATCACAGAAAAGAAAGAAACAGCATCCTTTAGAAGATACAGCCAAGGTTCCTGAGCCAGAAAACAGACTTTGACAAATTACTGTGGATGGGGGGGGCGGGAGGGGGAAGGAGGGGTAAAAATTATAAGCTTGGCTTTCTGTCCTTTGAGTTCGAGGATAAATGCCTTTTCCTTCAATGTCACAACACATAACAAAGAATAATGGGTGCTGTGAAAATTGGACTTGCCAATGGCAGCAATACATGTACATCGATGGGTACACTGAGCTTCCTACAGGTGCATGATGGGATACCCTGGGCTGGCTGCATCAAAGATTAGATTTATTTTAAAGATTTCCATAGGGACCTTGTTGTTGTTACATGTTATAGAATAACTTGAACAAAATTGTTAATTCTGTGTCACATTGACCATTTTCACCCTGTAAGGTACGTGGTTTATCACGGCCACTTTAAAGAAGTTTCTCAAGAAGTTGGATTGGGGAGAGAAGATCCTCTTAAAACTTTTTAGATTTACGGAATTTCTGGGGTTTTGTTTTTTTGTCTGTCGTGGGGGGCTGAACTCTGGGCCTGGGCGCTGTCCCTGCGCTCTTCAGATCAAGGCGAGCGCCCTACCGCTTGAGCCACAGCGCCACTTCCAGTTTTCTGGTTGTTAAGTGGAGATAAAAAGTTTCTCGGACTTTCCTGTCCCAGGTGGCTTTGAACCGCGATCCTCAGATCTCAGCCGCCTGAGTAGCTAGGATTACAAGCGTGAGCCACCACCAGTCCCCGGCAGATTTACGGAATTTCTCTATTATGTCCCAGGCAGAATTGTAAATTCTTTACGTTTATCATCTTATTAAATGTTCCTGACGGAGCTATGACCATTTTAAAAAGAAGTGGAGTGCGGGGAACTGGTTGCTCACGCCTGTAATCCTAACTACTCGGGAGGCTGAGATCTCTGAACTGCAGTTCGAAGCCAGCCCGGGCAGGAAGGTCTGTGAGACTCTGATCTCCAATTAACCACCCAAACCTGGAAGCTATGCTTAGACACGGAGCCCAGACCCTGAGTAGTTCAAGCCCTGGGACAGGGGAGGGGGTGGGGGAGGAACAGTAAAAAAGACGGCATGGAGAGTTGGCCTCACATTTCCTATTTCCTACGAGGTTCCGTTTGGAATGAAACTGAGCGGCTAGACGTCTACGGCCTGAGGCCATGCCCTGAGGAATGCTCTGGTTGTAGTGGGAACACACGGAGGCGCATCTTAGGCTCGGCTAGCCTTTCTAGATAAATCACACATCGTTTGCTGGGCACACCAGGACGCGGCCCCAGCTCTATCGCTTTCCCGCCAGCTCCGCTGCAACGCACTCGCTCTCTCTGAATAGTTCCAAGATGCAAACGCTTGGGCGATCAGCTGAAGTCCTGAGGCCCTAGGCCTGGGAGACACGTCGGCATTCCCACCTCAGCCCTAACCTGCCCTTCACACCGCTCCTCCGCACCCCCAAACCCACCCGGGTCACCAAACTCGTCCACCTCCAGCGAACCGGACCTCTGGGCGCCGGGATTAGGAGGCGGTCCGGAACTTCCTGGCGCTCACCGGAAACGGCAGTGACGTCGCGAGGAAGTGCGTGAAGCCACGGCCTGTGGTTGGTAGTTACTGGAGTTGGTGTCTCACTGTTAACGGTCCCGGGACCTCCGGCGGTGGTGACCGAGGCTGAGGGTGTCCGTAGCCGTGGGGTTTGCGTTAAGGCCGAGCGTCTTTGGGCCTGGGCGCCCCGCTCAGTCAAGGGACGCGGTTCCCCCACCCGCAGCTTTCCTCAGGGGTGCGTAGAGGAGGCGGGGGGGGCGACTTCCGGGCCCCATCCCGCGCCTCCAGGAAAGCTAGCCGATGCTCCCCTGGTCCCCGCGCATCCCCTGCTGCACCTCGCCCAGGAGGGAAGAATTGATGGAAGAAGCCGGGGCTCGGAAGCGTGAAGTGACCGCTGCGCAGCGCACGTGAGTTCCAGCCGGCACCAGCGCCCTGGGCCTGGGCTCGGCTGTGGGGTTCCACGCTTTTATCTGCATGGACAACCACGGGGAGACCAAACAGGTTAATAGACTAAGGGTCTGGGTTGGGGCCTGGGCTCCTGCACTTTGAATACTTGCTTCCTGACAAAGTATTGCTCCCGAATGAATGGAGCCGGCAGGTAAGCAGGTGGTAGTCGCTCTGGGAACCATAGCTAGTGGTGGTGGTGGTGGTGTTTTTAAGGCCTCAATTCAGGGGGAAAAAATGTATAGAGGTGGGTGTTGCTTCACACACCCTGTGAGGCCGCAGAGTTGGTTTTGATTCTGTCAGTAATTCTTTGGGGCGGAGGGTAGCCTCTGTAATACATAAGCCTGTGATTCTTATCACCTAGGGAAACATCTACGTATGGATTCCTGGACCTAGCTCAGCTCAGCTCCATTGAATCAGACCAACGGTTGGGGCGGGGGTGGGGTGGGATGGGGTTAGAATCTCCAGGTTAAACGAGCTGTAAAATAAGCTTGCTACCTTTGAGAAGTTTTCTTTTTTTTTTCTTTTTTGGTTTGTCGTGGGGTCTGAACTCTAGGCCTGGGCGCTGTCCCTCAGCTCTTCAGCTGAAGGCTAGCACTCTACCACTTGAATGCCAGCCCCACTTCTGGCTCTTTTTTTTCTGCTTATGTGGTGCTGAGGAATCGAACCCAGGGCCTCATGTATGCAAGGCAAGCGTTCTACCACTAAGCCACCTTCCCAGCCCCCCTTTGAGAAGTTAAAGGATGAAGATTTCATAGACAAAGAAGTGTAGATCGATTCAGAACACGTGGCCTGACTGCCTCTGGTTTTGTTTTGTTGTTGTGTTATAGTTGTGAATGCGTTTGTATTTGCCAAAGGGCTTAAACCTACCTTCCTCCCTCCCTCCCTCCCTCCCTCCCTCCCTCCCTCCCTTTCTTTCTTCCTTCCTTCCTTCCTTCCTTCCTTCCATCCTTCCTTCCTTCCTTCCTTCCTTCCTTCCTTCCAGTTGGGCTTTGTCCCTGAGCCTCTCTTTACTCAAAGCTAGCATTCTACCACTTGAGCCACCGCCCCACTTTTAGCTTTTTCTGAATAGTCTATTAGTGGTAAGAGTCTCACGGACTTTCCTGCCTGGGCTGGCTTCCACCAGCCTCCTGAGTAGCTAGGATTACAGGCGTGAGCCATTGGCACCTGGGTGGCTTCAACTCTTATTGGCAAAAATGTCAAGTCAGTATTACTGGTTATTGCATGCTGGATTTTTTCAATTAGCAAAAAAAAAAAAAAAAGGACTAGAACTCAATAAAATGTAGGGTTTTGTTTGTTTTGAGTCGTTGCGGGGCTTGAACTCTGGCCCTGGGCCCTGTCCCTCAGCTCTTCAGCTCAACACTAGTGCTCTACCACTTGAGCCACAGCGCCACTTCCGGTTTTCTGGTGGTTTATTGGAGATAAGAGTCTCATGGACTTTCCTGCCCCAGCTGGCTTTGAACTGTGATCCTCAGATCTCAGCCTCCTGAATAGCTAGGATTACAGGCGCCCTTCTAAAATGTAGTTTTTTAATCTACCTACCATGAATTTTTTTCCTGAATGAACTTGGGTAAGTCTCTAAACCCTGAGGTCCACAACATATTGACATATAATTATGGACATACACTACTGTTCATAAAGATAGACAACAAAATCTATCATAGATCAGTTCTTTGAAGGTGAGCCATGGCCATTTTAAATGTTCTTTTTTTTAATGATGCTGGTGTTTGAAATTAGAGCCTTACATTTGTTATACAAGTGCTCTACTGCTGAACCATACCTCCAGCTATATTTTTATTTTCTCAATTTAATGGGTACATTGTGGTGGTTTGATTTATTTTACCTTATAGAATGATTAAATCAAGCTAATAAATTTTAGTGGTAGAAACATTTAACTTAGCAATTTGGAAGTGCACACTGCACTGCTATTTATTGTAGTCACCATTTGCATAAGAGGTCATTAAAACATATTTCTCTTGTCTAAATGAAGCTCTTTACCCTTTGATCAGTATTTTCCTTTCCCCATATATCTTCCTCCACTTACCATTAGTACTTTCCATTGTAGTTTAGTTTACTTATTTTACTTTTAGTCAAACTGAAAAGTTTGACTCTGTAGATCCCATGTGTAAGATTGTTCACTGTGTCTTTCTGTGCCAGTCAACACACTTCCAGGAAAGTTTGCAGCCAATAACAGTAAAATATGGAAATGCACTTCAAAACTGAGTCTTGACTTGTTTCTCAGTGTCTGGGTATGGCACAATGTCATTTCTATTTCCTTATGCTTTCTTGGAGAGTAATGAAAATGTGGTTTATTTTGAGTTCCAGTTTTAAAATTCAACACTCACATTCTTGTGAAAGAACTATGAACTTACAAAAGGTAAATCAGCAGTTCTGAGGGACTTAGACACGTTTGATGTGATGATAGTTTTATATAGAAGCGTAGATTGTTGGATTTTCTGCCTGAAAGGATTATCATTGTGCCTTAACTAGCCAGACTCTCACAACCTGAACTAAATATACATTTGTTTTTAAAAACCAGACTTGTGGTTTGAATCAGGAATGAAATCTTCTGAAAGCCAAGACCAGAAGGCTTTTTGTTCAGAATGGAAGACAAAAGACGGCAAGCCCGAGTGCAAGGAGCCTGGGCTGCTCCTGCGAAGAAGCGAGCGGCTGCTCAGCCAGGTGAGAACCTAACAGGCTGTGAGTGTGTGTCAATGGAGCTTGACAACCATGTCCATATGCATCGATAGTGATAGTGATATTTTGTGTTCCTCCTATTTATTTAGTACCCTTCAACTTTCTAGAGTATGTTGAGGTCTTCTATTGACCTGGTCAGTTAATTTGATATAGAATCATCCGCAAGAGGGTGTTTTTGGCTTCCGCCTTGTAGAAGATGACACAAATAGACTTTTTCCTCCTTTGAGGCTGTTCTCTCTCCTGTTTCAGCTACCACTCCTAGGAGCCATCACCATCAGACACCTGGTCAGAACTGGAGGAACAAGGAACATTCGCTGTCTGACAGACTGTTTATATTCAAAGAACCCCAGCAGGTACTCAAATAGTGACTGAATAAATTTACTAATGAATAATAGAACAAAAAGAACTATAGTAATAATGAAATATGAACTATTTCATCAGGAGCCAGTGACTTGTGCCTGAAATCCTAATTGCTTGGAAAGCTGAGATTGATGGGTTTCAGTTTCAGTCAACCCAGGCAGAAAAGTTCATGAGACCCTCTTTTCAATCCATAGTTAGATAAGGTGTTACATGCCTGTCATGATAAGTTATATACAAGTCTGAGATAGGGAGAATCACAGTTTCAGGCCAGCCTGGACAGAAAAGTCCATAGAGACCCCATTTCCACAGAGGGAAGCTGGACATGGCTGGACCTGACACGGGCCTGTAATCCCAGCAACTATGAAATCCTAAAGGAGGCAGTTGTAGTCTAGACTAGTGCCTAAGTGAAAAGCGAGACTAAACTCCTCATCCTAAAAATAACCAGTGAAAAACAGTGCTAGCCCAGCAAACTTGAGACTTTGTTCAAAGCCTTGTGATGCCAAAAAAAAAAAAGGGAAAAGAAAAGAAAAATATGACCTCTATTATCTGATAGAGGCTTCTTCATATTGTGCCCCATATATAGCTGCCTATTATTCCTGTTTATTTGGCACAGAGGCAAAATCGTGAGCAGAGACTAGAAGTTCATACCACAGGTGATCTAAGCTCTGACAGTTTAAGATCTGCTGTCTGTCTGCTGTTACTATGCCAAATATTTAACACTCAGTTATTGTAAGTAAATTTCAGTTATTGTAGCAGAAGGTCTGCTTCCTAATGTTTTCCCCCCATGGAGCAAAATAGAAGAAATAGAAGATTTACTTTTTTTTAAGTAAGTGAGAGTGCTTGGATCATACCCAGGGCCGTGTGCTTGCTAGGCCAGTGTTCTACCACTGAGTTATACACCCATTCTCATTTCTTTTATGTTGCAATTTTTCATTTTTGGAGGAGGGACAGTACTGGGGTTTGAACTCTATACCTCCTAGGCTATTTACTGCTACTTCTTCAGCTCATCTCTAAGCCCTACTTTCATTTTTGTATTGATTTTTTTTTTTTCTTTTTTTGAGATAAGGTCTTCTTATGTATCCCAGTCTGTTCTGAAACCCACTACATAGCCTAAACTAGACTTGAACTGTAGGTCTTCCTGCCTCAGCTTTCAGAGTGATGAAATTATAGGTGTGCACTATCACACTTTTAGCTTTTTTTTTTTTTTCCAGTCCTGGGGCTTGGAACTAAGGGCCTGGGTACTGTCCCTGTGTTTCTTTTGCTCAAGGCTAGCACTCTACCACTTGAGCCACAGTGCCTCTTCTGGCTTTTTCTGTGTTTGTGGTACTGAGGAATTGAACCTGGGGCTTCATGTATGTTAAGCAAATACTCTACCACTAAGCCATTCCCAGCCTATGCCTCATTTTAAAAATAAGGATAAATAAGTTTTAAAACTCAGGTACCATGCTATGGCAATGATTGCATAAATATCAAAAGTTTTATTTTTCTAGTATATATACTGTTTATAAAAAATTTAGTCTGGGGCTGGGAAGGTGGCTCAGCGGTAGAGTGCTTGCCTTGCATGCATGAGGCCCTGGGTTCGATTCCTTAGCACCACATAAACAGAAAAAGCCGGATGTGACACTATGGCTCCAGTGGTAGAGCGCTAGCCTTGAGCTGAAGAGCTGAGGGACAGCATCCAGGCCCAGAGTTCAGGCCCCATGACCAGTAAAAAAAAAATTTAGGCTATGTGTGCAGGCTCACATCTGTAATCCCAGCTACTTAGGAAGTAGACATTGGGAGGATTGTGGTTCAGCGGCAGATTGCACAAAATGTTAGTCAGATGAGACCCCATTTCAATAAATGCTGAGCATGATGGTATGTGCCTGTGTGTAGAAGGTGGGAATAAGATTATGGTCTGGGCTGACCTGGACAAAAATTCAAGACCCTACTTGAAAAAATAACTAGAGCAAAAAGGTCTGTGGTAGGGTACCTACCTATCAAGTATGAGACCTAAATTCAAACCCTAGTACCATAAAATAAAAAAAAAATTAAAAATGTAAAAGTTTTTATGTAAAGAAGGTTTCTCTAGAGCTGCTGCTCAGTAGGGAAACAGATTAATTTTAATTGTATTCTTTTTTCAGTCTGCTTGCAAGTATGAAATAGGTCTTTTAAAAAAAGGTCAGAAACAGACTATTGATAGGTTGGAATGAAAAAGGGATAGTAAACCTGACTTGCATTCACCAGAAATGAGAGGAAATGGAAAATCAGTGTAATACTTGGGAACCATTCCAGAACTAAGATCTACCTGTTTCCTTACAGGTAGTCCGTAGAGCCCCCGAACCACGTGTGATCGAGTAAGTACTTTGCTTCCATCCTGTAATTGCTGCCCACAATGAAATAAAGAGCCAGGAACTTTCCCTTAACCCTGAGTTTTTCTGTCTGGAACAGAAGGGCCCAGTAAGCCTCTTCACTTTAGACTGGAAAATTCCAATCTCAATCTTCAAATTTGAAAAGACTTTCTAAATTTACTGATGGTACAGAAATTGTAACAAGATCTCTATACATTAATTTTGACTCTTGTGTGGCTTTTCTGGCCTCCTCTTGCTGGTATCTGTAGCCGGTAAGCTAAAACACATCTTAGCTAAATTTGGAAGGGATCTTTCCCAAGTTGTTTGAGCTCGGCTCTTTGAGAAGTCACTAAGTACCATTTTGCTGGTGGTGCTTAAGAGGCTCTGCTGCAACCTAGATGACCTTAGAGAACATTATTAAAACCATATGATTGTTACAAAAGCAATTTAACTGGTGCTAAATGTTTTTACATTGATCTGGTCTAAAGTGGTAAGAAAAATGCCTTGCTTCTCTCTTCCCAGTTATCAATTTCTACCTCATAAAGTTTGTCAATAAAAACTATCCCTTTATTTTAGCAAATTAGTATCAGATAGGTGTTCTTGAACATAAACAATCTCCTATGCTATTCAGCTGTTTGTAGGATGACTTGGATATCTTAGAGGAATTTGAAACTAACACAAATGTCAACATAAGTTCAAAGAGTATCTAGCCTTGTCTTTGCCATTAATTAAGTCTAAAAAGACCTGTGGTAAGTTCCTCCCATATCTCTGGATATCTTTTTTTCCTTGTCTGTAAAAAGATTTGGACTAATACAATCACTGAAGGCCTAGTCTAATTCTAATAATGTTTGTTTTGAAAATACCAGTTTGGCCAGACACTGGGGGCTCACGCCTGTAATGGTAGCTACTCTGAAGACAGATCTGAGGATTGAGGTGTGAAACCAGCCCAGGCAGAAAAGTTAGACTCTTATCTCCACTTAACTCACACAGTGCTAGATGGAAGGAGTGGCTCAAGTAGTAGAGTGCCAGCTGTGAGTGGACAAAAAGAGTGCAAAGCCCTGAGTTCAAGTCCTCATACCAACATAAAAAGAATGCCAGTATAATGTTACTTCCATTAATAATAATAAAGAGACTAAATAGAACTATGGAACCCATTAAAGATGGAACGTTGAGGCTGGATAATTGTGTTTGGGAGTCAAGAGGAAAATGACAGAATCCATTTGGCTTAGGGTTTGCTAATTGTGATAGTTAACTATGCTAGGTATTTTTTTAACACCCAGAAATGTGCTCTATATATAAAGAGAGCCAGTTTCTTTTCTTTTTCTTTTTTCTTTTTATTTTTTTTGTTCGTCATGGGGCTTGAACTCTGGGCCTAGGCGCTGTCCCTGAGCTCTTCAGCTCAATGCAAGTGCTCTACCACTTGAGCCACAGCACCACTTCCAGTTTTCTAGTGGTTTATTGGAGATAAGAATCTCACTTGAGCCACAGCACCACTTCCAGTTTTCTAGTGGTTTATTGGAGATAAGAATCTCACAGACTTTCCTGCCCGGGCTGGCTTTGAACCATGATTCTCAGATCTCAGCATCCTGAGTAGGTAGGATTACAGGCATAAGCCACTGGTGCCTGGCAAGAGCCAGTTTCTAAGAGAGTAAAAATGCATCACATTAAAACATTGAATTCTAGAAAACTGTATAGACAACTGAGAAGTATATCTATATTTATAGATACAGATATATACACACCATACTGTACATATGGTAACTGCCTACAGCTGTGATTCAGAGAGACTCACAAATGTACAAAGGTCTTAGCTTGGGGGTTATGAACTACTAGTTCTCATGGCAAAAGGTTTTTTGAAGACATTCCCTTTGTGGTAGTTGCTATAAAGAGTCCGAAGGATCTGACACAGTTGTCCAACTTGTTAGGGCATTGGGCCCTGCACATCTTCAGCAGTTTTATGTTTTTCACGTTAGGTTAGATCCAATGAACTTTGTGTGCATCCACATTACAATAGTGACCCAAGAGGCCTGCATCCTAGTACATGCAGTTTACAGTCTTGTGTATCATAAAACAGTAGATATGGTGTGAGACTTAGTCCTAGCACACAGGAGGAGATGGGTAACATTACTTGCATATATATAGGGCCAGGAGAGGCTTAGGGTGCTGTGGAGGTAGGGTTTTAAAGGGTAGATAAGAATTTTCTGCTACATCAAGGTTGGCATGGGTTGGGGTTGCTATCTGGCAGGGTGGCACTCAGTGTATAGAAACACAGATCCAAAGCAGTGATGTGTTTAGGAGATTGGGAGCAGTTGATGGATACAGAGGATAGACTCATGAAGACCCTGAGCAAATCCAGGGGAGCCACTGAGGGATTTCACTCATAGGAGGAACATTGCTCTACATTCATCTTTGAGAGCAACGGAAGCTCCAAGCCCTGGGACATGCTTGCCACCTGGAAAACACATCCCCTGTTCCAAGCTTTCCAAAAAGGAGACGCCCCTTTGTTTCTCTTAGATTACCCTTTGTGTGGTAGATTCCTGGGTCCTGTCATCTTGAATTATGGTTGAAATATAAAGGAGTAGAATTAGAACTTACTTCATACTATTCTCTCCATGTTCTGGGCTTATCAGAGTTCCATCCCTAGGGCCTTTAATGATGTGTCCCAATCTTGCCCCAAGGAGATGTCATCGCACTGTGTTATAGCTACGTGATGTTAGTGGAGCTCCCTCAGCCGGGGAGGGAAGAGGAGGACTGTTTTGCCTCCTACCAACAAGTGTCTTTTCTCTTTCTCTAGCAGGGAGGGTGTGTATGAGATCAGCCTGTCACCCACAGGCATATCTAGGTAAGTCAGTGCTCACTAGAAAGTGACTATAGTTACCAACTTGTAGATTTAAAATAATCTTCTCCCAGCCAGGCCGGTGGCTCACACTTGTAATCCTAACTACTCAGGAGGCTGAGATCTGAGGATTGTGGTTCAACCTGCCAACCTGGGCATGAGATTTACCTTCAAATAATCATGAGAAAACCAGAAGTGGAGCTGTGTCTCTAAGTCATAGAGCACTAGCCTTAAGCATAAAAGCTCAGGGGCAGTGCTAAGGCCCCGAGTTCAAACACCAAGGAAAAAAAAAAAAAGAATTCCTTAGAATTCTGCTGGAGTCTGGGTTCTTACAGCCCTGCTCTGGTTATAGAGCTTTTTGTAGCCTCCCCTTTAAGACAAGATTAACAGCCACACAAGACCAGTTGCATTATTTTGGCTACATCTCTCTCGTTAACTAGGTGGCTGCTGGCCAGCTTTGGCTCTTTCAAATTAAACACACCTTCAGGGTAAGGGTTTGCTGCCATCACGAGGGGTTTTGGTTTTGTTTGGGTTTTTGGTTTTGTTTGGTTTTTGGTTTTGTCATGGGGCTTGAACTCTGGGCTTGGGCACTGTCCCTCAGCTCTTCACTTCAAGGTGAGCACTCTACCACTTGAGCTCCACAGTGCCACTTCTGGTTTTCTAGTGGTTAATTGGAGATAAGAGTCTCACAGATTTTTCCTGCCTGGGCTGGCTTTGAACCACGACCCTCAGATCTCAGCCTCCTGAGTGGCTAGGATTACAGGTGTGAGCCACCAGCACCAGGCCATCACAAGGGTTTTTGAGAGGATGTTCTTTTAGAACATTTCTTAGGAAAGATATCTTAAATTTTAAGCTGAATCAGCATTGTTTTGCCAAAGTCATAAGTAATCCCTGCCAATTCCTCTGTAATCCTTCAAAAGACAGCCACTCGTTAAAACAGCACAGGCCAAGGTGTCTTGTTTGCTCCCCACAGTGACCTTAGGAGATGAATGTCATTTGAGAAAACCAAGGTGCAGGGAAGATGGTCATTTTCACCCCTTAAATTCTTACTTGATAATAGTACTCAAATTCTTATGTAGTATTTGAGCCAAAATCTACCAGGGCTCTCATATCTCCATCACCAGCCTCCCCACCACCACCACCCCCCCACCCCGCCCCACATCCTTCCTGGCCTCATTGTCTGGATGCGAAAGGAGCTGGTGACAGTGCTGTGGGAGGTGGTAAGGTGATGTCTTCTCCTGAGTAGAGGAAGGATCCATGAACTCATTTTACTAGTAGTGAAAATCTGACCTGTGTTATCTGTGTTCTGTAGTTGATAATGGTTCTTCCTGCCTCAAGGGTCCGTTTATATCCTGGCTTTGTTGATGTGGAAGAAGCCAACTGGATATTGGAGCAGCTTCACCGAGCTGTTCCCTGGAAACAGAGGGTGGGCGTCCGAGAGGGTGAGTAGAGCTCTGTGAGGTTGCAGTGGCTGTGGTCTGGCCTCCCTCTGAGCATGCTTGGAACACTGCTTCCTCTGCTCACCACAATTAGCCTTCAGCAGAGGTTTAAAACCTGAGAGCCTAAGGAGTAGAACTTGGTCAGTCCCAAGGGACAGGAAGGAAACTTCCAGGCAGGAGAAACAGTGTAAGGTGCCCAGAGCTCAGGGAGACACCTGCAGAATAGAAGGACCAGAGGAAGCCTGGTAGGACAGCCCTGTGGCTGCTTATTTGTTGCCTCTTATGTGTTTAAGCTGTGCCAGCTTCCTTCTTTCTTCACAGAAGCTTCCAGAAGTTTTTCTTCTGATTCTATTTGGCACTCTTCTACAGTTCTTCTTACTGACTTTTTATCATCTTTTGCTTTCACCAGAAGTATCCAGGCTTTAGTTTAGGAGTCTGCACTTTTCCTAGCTGATAAAGGTACAAGAGTTGATTGCCTGACTTGGAACCTGCTCCTGTTCTGTAGGCACCCATAAGCAACAGGGCTTGTGATACCACAGGTGGTCACTGGGGGGCGTCTGTGCTCTGGCATAGATGTCCTGTATATTCCTGTGAATTTGAAATTTTTGTAAAGAAAAAAGCAAAGAATCTTTATCACGCACACGTTAGGAATCAGCTTTTTTGTGTGTGTGCTGGTCCTGGGGTTTTAACTAAGGGTCTGGATGCTGCCCTAAACTTCTGTGTTCAGCACTCTATCACTTGAGCTACAGCTCTCCTTCCAAGAATCAGCCTTTTTCAGGGCAGACTTTTTCCAACTTCCAGTTGTTTCTACAGCTGGGATTTTGGTTTCTTACTTTGCTTTCTATATCATTCATAGTGATAACTAATTGTAACAAAATTTCCTTTTAAATTCAGCTAATGCTACCTATTTTAGAATGTTGTTGTGTTGATTAAATGAGATAATAAGTGCTTAACAGAATGCCTGGTTTGCAATAAGCCTTCAAGGACTGCCAGCTACTTTTTCTTCTTTTTGTGCCATAAATTGGCCCCAGGGCCTTGCACGTGCAAATTGCATGCTTTACCAGTGAGCTGCACTCCCAGTCCTGCTTCGATTTTCATTGTATTCTTTCTGTATTGATACCATCTGTGGGGAAATAGCACATCTAAATTTCCACATCACAGACTTCTGACTAAAATTAGCTACATTGCTAGAGTTGGTCTGAGTACTTTTTCTCTCATTTGGAATCAGAAGTTTACACAACATTGGACACATGGATGAGCAGTTTGTTTAGTTTTCACATGGACATTGGTCCCACAAATTCCTGCTGACAGTAGTCCAAGTTCCACATCCTGCTTTGAGAAACATGTTCACGTCACATACATCCTCATCTCAGAGCCTTCTTCCAGACTGTTTCTGCCCCATACCTTCCCTTATTCTTCTTTAGAAGCCTTCCCCATTCTCCTCACCAAATCCCACATCCTCTGTGAGGCGGCCTGTAGTCAGCACCCAGCCTTCTCTTCCTTGGAGTTTCTCAGAGCTTCTTGCCAAGTGCTGGCTCATACTTGACTTGCAGTGGGTCCACCTGAAGTAGCACTAAACTGTCTCAAGAGCCCTGTATTTTCTTTCTTAGATATAACTTATCTTCAGCCAAGACTTACAGCATGGTATGGAGAACTTCCTTACACTTATTCAAGAATCACTATGGAACCAAATCCTCACGTATGTTGGAATATTGTCATTGCTATGGTTTTATAGACTATGTATTATTAGGTTTTGGATACTAACAAGTAACAAGCACTAAGCTGGCAGAGATACTTGATACTTCTCAAACATTGAGGCTTTGTGGATATGTGGAGAGTGTGTGTGTGTGTGTGTGTGTGTGTGTGTGTGTGTGTGTGTGTGTGTGTGTGTGTGTGTGTGTGTGTGTGTGTTGGTGCTGCTAGGGTTTAAACTCAGGATCTGTGCTTTCTAGACAGGCACTCTACCACTTGAGTTGTGCCTCAACCTTTTTTTGCCTTTGACTATTTGTTAAATAGAGTCTCACATTTTGGCCTGAACCAGCATAACTGTAATCTTCCTGCCTATGCTGCCCATGTAGTAGCTGGGTTTGCCAATACGTACCACCACTCCTGGCTTATTTTTTTTGATAGGGTCCTGCTAACTGCTTTTTATTAGGGCTTCTATGTTCTTCTCTCTGCTTCTCGCATAGCTGAGATACCAGGCATATGACACCATGCCTCACTGCTTTTTGTGCATGAATTCAGAAGCTAAACTTAGTTTACTCTGGTGCTAGAGCAAACTCTAAGTACTAGAGGCGAGGATTTTAGGAACATGAACTATTGCTTATCCTGATAGCCCCTCCTCAAGCCTTTTTGGCTGAAACCCTCTGTATACACCCTGGATGCATTTGCTATGCAGTGAGTCAGAATGCCTTTTTCCATTTCTCACACTCTTTGTGCTATTTGTGAGGAAGAAAAAAAAAAAGCTGGTGTTTTTGTGTTGTTGTCACTAACTTTGCATTAACTCTGTGGATACAGAGTTCTCAGACATCTAATTTATTACTGCCTTGGCTTGTTTCTGGTGCTTCTTTTGTTTTTCAAAATTTCCATGACAGTAGACAAAGATATTTTCAGATATAAATTAAGCTTGTCCAGAGGGTAGAGTTAAGGTCCAAGAAATAGCTCCCTATTTAGTTCCTGGAATCTTGCCTTTGGCAAACAACATTATGTGTTATTGAAAGAGACTTTGAAGAAAATGGAATTTTGCTTACTGGGTTCAGATGCACAGAAATGTGACATGTTGAGAACTTCTAGCAATACAGATAAGCATAGACTACCACTCTACAAAGACATTCAAAAATCAGACATGGCTTCTGACACAGGGAGATGAGGCCTAGTGTCTAGGGCTTGCTTCTTGGCATGTTTTAAGTTTTAAGGCTGAGTTTAGAATATAGTCTAGAGAAATGTGAAGACCCTTTTGTGTGAGATTGGTATTGAATTAGGTCTACCCAGTAAGCTACTGTCTTTGTTTCTATTGAAATTATTTTATTTGCTTGTCAAGTTGTAGAAGAGAGGTTGAGAGATAGACAGGCCAGAGGGACGAAGGGTTTTTGTTTTCGTTTTTCTCATTCATTCTGGTTATCTTTCAGAACATATTTCTCAGTTTCTGTGCTGTTGATATTTGGGGCAAGATTAATTGTTTGTCATGAGGATGTCCTGTGCACTGTAGCATATTTACGAGTATTTGTGACCTCTGCTCACTGGATACTACAGGCCAGTGGCATTTCTCATGTAATCTTGACAGCCAAAAGTGACTCCAAACATTGCATACAGGTCTGTTGGAGCATGATTGTACTGGGCTAGAACCACTGCTTTCAAGTACACATAAGTCACAGAACTTGCTTAATAAAGTAGCTTTTTCCTGTCTCATTTTAGCAGCATTTTTTTTTATCATTCTTCAAAAAGAATTTTTTAATGACAGGTTTTCTTTTTCAATTAATATAAAGAAAATATACACACTATGGAAGATTTAGAAATTACAGATAAGCAGGAAGAGAAATGTTAAATTTTTTGGTCTTGCTTCCACTTTATGTTTTAGTTCCAATTTCTTTTTAGGGCTATTTTTTTCAGTACTGCAGTTAGAATTCAGTGCCTCACTCTTGCTAGACAAGCATTCTACCACCTAAACTATGCCCCCAGTACAGAGGAATTTTTTGTGTGTTACATACTCAATTTATTAGGTCTACATCTTAAAATTTTCCAGAGTTTAATTTTTTTAATTTCGTTTTTTATTATCTTTAAATAGTTGTCCAAATGGATTTCAGTGAAACTTCTGAGTACAATTCAACTTACGAATACAATGTATATTAGTGTTACCTCTTCCATGATTTTTCCCTCATCTCAACCACATCCAACCCTCAAGTTAACCTGGTTCCATTTTCACATACATACATTGAGTATTGCGAATATAGTCACCTATTCCTGCCTCCATCCACCCTCTCATCCCTTGAAGCACCAGTTTCTTTAGGTAAAACATATTCTAGCTTCCCAGTATTAAATTTTTTTAGACTGTCAATTGTTTAAGAGGAGATGCTATAGAAATGTACCCCTGCACATACCATACTTTAGTCAGTTTGTATATATGCATATGGCCCTCTGTGTGTTTTCATAGATGTTTATATTTTAGATCTAACTTGAGAATCATTTTTCCTATTAAAATGCAAGCAAACTGGCTTAGCCCTTGGTAGGCTGAGGAGGATCAGAAGTTCTAGGCCAGTCTCGGCTACATAGCAAGACCCTGTCACAAAGAAACACAAACAGAAACAAATTAGACAAATAGAAAGTTAGGTATGCTATGTTTTATTGACTGTTTTAGTATCACTAAATATTCCTCTACTGATATGTAATAGCCGCAAAAGTATTCCTTCATGTCTAAGTACCATAGTTTAAGCATATTAAAGTTATCAAATCAGAATTATTTAATCTGGAATTTGTGTGTCTATTTGCTAATATATTTGGTTCCTTGATTTACTTCTTAAAGTCTAAAGAATTGCTCCTCTCAGATTTCTTTAAAGCATTAATGTGTGTACATGTAAGTTGTTGATCAGTTTTAAATTGTTCTATAACAGTATTAGATTCAAATCATAGGTAGACTTTTTCTACCTCCTTCTCCTTCACTTCCCCCTCCTCATCCTCCTCTTCTTTTTTTAGAGACTGGGTTTTGCTATGTAGCCTGGGCTGACCTGGAACTCCTGCTTCAGCCTCCTGAGTGATGACATTTCAGATGGCATATGCCACCATGGCTGCTTCAACCATAGGTTTTTTAATTTGTTTTAGTCCTTATTCAGACTAAAGGTTATATGAACCCACCATATCACACATCACAACCTTGACTGCTTGGGAGACTTGCAGCCTGACTTCTTTGTCCTGCCACAGACCCAGAGCCACCCCTCCACAAAACACCATGTGAATTAAAAAAAAAAAAAGTGAAAGAAAGAAAGATCATAGACCAAAGCTAAAAAAAAAAAAAATCACCATGTAAAATCTTTATATTTCCTCACATTCTTTCTCAAATGTCTTTTGAGGATAGAATGTCTTCACTGAATAGTGACATGATGCTGAATTTTAATTTAGACATTCAGTTCTGAAGGCTCTGTATATAGAGCATCAGTTAGAGTCTAAATTAATCCTCTGGTTCATTATCCTCCCTTTTTTCCCTTTCTCTGCACTTCACTACCAAAAATAACCAAGAAAAAATATATACCCACTTAGAAACATAATGCATTTGATGTTACCACAGCACTCAATCCTCAAGCAAGTCAGAGAAGTGCTAATTAGATTCTCGGTCACACTGTAGAAATTCTCTCTTTTCCTTTACATTCTTGTTTTTCTTGTCAAGTATATAATTCTACCATCTGATCTGATCTCCATGCAGATAAATTTGTGTAATGGGTAGGAAATATGACTCACCTACATAATTATTAGAGTTTTACTTTAGAAAATCTCTTGAACATGGGTTAGCTTAATGACATTTTTGTTTCATTGATCTAAGGTGTTTTTTGTTGTGACTACTCTTTTTTTTTAAACAACTTTCTGCTTAACCGGTAGTGCTCATAATCACCAAAAGGTGATCAGCTTTAACCTTGCCCTCCCTGTCACAGTAAAGCTGAGAGCCGCTCACTTGTGTAGTGTTGTGGGCAGTAGGCATGGAAACTGTTTGATAATAATAATATGCATTCCTTTCCTGAACTACACCCAGCCCATCACTAGTAGACATACAACCCGACATCCAGGGAGATCTCTAAAATAGCAGGTCTTAAAGTATAAACTTGGATACCTGGATGGGTCCATAAGCCATTTCTGAGGATCCACAAATCTGCTTTCATAGCAGTACTAAGATGTGCAGTGTTTATACCCTGGGTTGAATTGGTACTAATGGTACAAAGTACCAATGGGTAATATGGTGGTTCCTTAACACAAATCATATCATCATCACCAAACTCAACTGGTCACCGTGTTCTTCACTTCCACTTTAAAGTGTAAAAAAAGAAAATGCTGATTTTATTTAGGGCTGTCCCTTGACGAAGCAGTAAACATCATTAGTTTTTTATTAAATCCTGGCCTTTGAGCACTTTTTGGTGACATGGAAAGTATGCATCAAACCCCTCTGCTACCATCCCAAGTGTAGTGTTTGAGCCAAGCTGTAAACTTTTTTGTGGACTATGTTTATTAAGAACAACTGGCAAACAGACTGGTTCTTCAGACATGAATGTCTTAGCAGGTATTTTTTTTTTCATAATTGTATAACATTAGTGTCACTTCAAGGGAACTAGTGGGCTGGATTCATTCATTACTTACTGGTGACCAAAGTTGAGTTTTCATACAAAAGTTTGATTTTGGAAAACTAGTGTGCATCACTTTAAAAGCCTGGTCTTTTCCTATTATTTAGATTTTTCTGATAAAATCACTGATGGTATTCACAGATGTGATTTTTTTTGTAGTTGTTATTGTATGAGTTGTGTTAATATTTAGAAGATCTGTGTAACCTTGAACTGATATTTTCCAGATGACCAGTGGTTGATATTAAGGAAAATCTTTGAAAGGGTTCTAAACTGCATATTGAGATAAAACTAATTGCTTAATATTTCAACAAAAACATTTTAAAAGATAGAGTATGGAAGCAGTTATAAGAATCAACTCTTGCCAGACACTGGTGGCTCATGTAACCCTAGTTACTCAGGAGGCTGAGATCTGAGGATCACAGTTTGAAGCCAGCCTGGGCAGAAAATCCCTGAAACTAATCAACCAGTAATAAAATAGAAGTGGAGGTGTGGATCAAATGGTAGAGTACCAGCCTTCAGTTTAAAAAAAAAAGGGAGGGGCTGGGAGTTTAGCCCAGTGGAAGGGCGTCTGCCCAGCGCGCACAAGGCCCTGGGTTCTGTCCTCAGCCCTGGAAAAAAAAAAAAGCTTCAAGTTCAAGCCTCAATACAAGCACTAAAAAAAAAAAAAACCCTTTCATGTCAGGTCAGACAATAACAAGATTTGCAAAGCAGTGCTATTGTTCTCATCAGTTTTTTGTTTTGGAAATTAGTTATATTTTCACCCAGACAAGAATGTGTGTTCACATGTATTGGATTTGTTGTTGCATTGTAAGTGAATTAGCCAGTAGTTGAACTTTCTACACCCTTGTCTATTCATTTGTGGTACCAGGGTTTGAACTCAAGGCCTTGCACTTGCTATCAGGCACCTTACCACTTGAGCTATGCCCCCAACTCTTTTGCTTTTGCTATTTTTCTATTAGGGTCTTGCTTGGGCTGGCCTAGACCACAGTCTTCCCACTTATGCATCTTATGTAGCTAGGATGATAACTGTGTCCACTATGTCCAGAGATGGAGGCAGAGCGTAGGGAGAGGGGTCACAAACTTTTTTACCTGAGTTGTCATAGAACTGTAATCCTCCTGATCTCAGCTCCCTGAGCGGCTGGAATTACAAGCATGAGCTAGGATTAGTGGTGTGAGCCTCTTTACCCAAATCTGTTTTTTTAATGTGGTGAATTTCCATAATCAAAAGCCATCAAAATAAAGGATTTTAATAGTATTGTTCCTGAAATGCATATAATACACACTTGAGATTCCTGGCAAGACAGAATTCTTCTAGAACTAGTACAAACTATACTGACTGTAGCTCCAGTATAATCCAAAGTGAGGGGTCACGCTCCCAATAGTATGTGTGGCTGAAGGTTCCAGGTACAAGCTGTGCCTGTGTGCTCTGGACAGAAGACACTAACTGGGAAATCTGATGAAGTCTTCTATATGTTGTGGTCCTCACTTTGTCAAGAACCTGTCATGATTCCCATTGTGTAGAAAAGTGTTTATCCCCTTCAGGATCTGGTTTCAGGAATTTAGCCACTCAAAATATGAAATGCCTTTTTGCAAAGAGCATTCCACCATTGAGGATAAAGTAGGAAAAGAATAAGCAGAGGCCACCCGGCAGCAAAGTTCTTTGTCTTCAGACTACAGGGCCACACATCACCCTGTGGGCCCTTCTGGCCTCCTTAATGATTTCCAGGGGACTGTCCTCACTTGACTGTATGGACCTTTGCTTTGTGAGGGGTACGCATGTAATGTGAAAAGCAAGATGGGTGGCTAGGTCCTGGTCTTGACATTGCCCTTCTGCATTTACTACTTTTATAAAATTACAGAGGTTGGCTTGTTTCAAAGTAGACTTGATGGAGGGAATTAATTCAACTGCCCACCTTGCCTCGTGTTGATTGCATTGCATGTGTTTCACGTATTCACATCCCCTGGCTTGTTGCTGCAGTGGCCTCCCGTGCTGAGTACCCTAAAGAACCGCATTGAAGAGAACACTGGCCACACCTTCAACTCCCTGCTCTGCAATCTCTACCGAGACGAGAAGGACAGTGTGGACTGGCACAGCGATGATGAGCCTTCACTGGGGACCTGCCCCGTCATTGCATCACTTAGTTTTGGGGCCACACGTACTTTCGAGATGAGGAAGAAACCCCCACCTGTGAGTTCCTGTTCCTTCTCTCTCTTCTTCCTCCTTTCTCTTTCTCTCTTCCTTCCTCCTATAGCTCCCCTACCCCAGCTTCTCAACACTCCCCGTTTCTTATTCTTCTGTGAACAAAATAGATCGTCTAAAAGTTCCTGTTCCTGGATATGGAGGACAGGAGTACTTGTGGAAGGTTTGTTTTTTGTTTTTTTTTGTTTTTTTTTTTTTTTGTGGGGGGCGGGGTCCGGTCATGGGGCCTGAACTCTGGGCCTAGGCACTGTCCCTCAGCTCTTCAGCTCAAGGTGAGCACCCTACCGCTTGAGCCACAGCACCACTTCTGGTTTTCTAGTGGTTGATTGGACATAAGAGTTTCATGGAAGCCGGGCGCTGGTGGCTCACGCCTGTAATCCTAGCTACTCAGGAGGCTGAGATCTGAGGATTGCAGTTCAAAGCCAGCCTGGGCAGGAGAGACTGTGAGACTCCTATCTCCAATAAACCACCAGAAAACCGGAAGTGGCGCTGTAGCTCAAGTGGTAGAGCGCTCGCCTTGAGCTGAAGAGCTGAGGGACAGCACCCAGGCCCAGAGTTCAAGCCCCATGACCGACCAAAAAAAAAAAAAAGAGTTTCATGGACTTTCCTGCCCGGGCTGGCTTTGAACCGAGATCCTCAGATCTCAGCCTCCTGAGTAGCTAGGATTACAGGTGTGAGCCACCAGTGCCTGGCTAGTACTTGTGTGTTTTTGATAGTACATTTTCAACTGATTTCAAGGTCTCATTCATTCATCCATTTATCTAGCAGTTGGGAATTGACCCCAGGGTCTTGTCCATATTAGTCAAATGCCTTTATCACAGGGCTACATCCTCATTACCTTTTTAATTTTGGTGTGTCTATCTGCTTGATTTTTGAGACTGTTTCTCCATGTAGCTCAGGCTGACTGAAACTCATGATCCTCTTTTCCTCAGCTTCTTGAGTATTGGAATTATAGCATGTACCACTAAGCCTAGATTGGCACTCAACTTCTACTGACAGGAAGGACAGACACAGTCCCCATCCAAATGGGAACATAGCTAGTGGGGGTAGGAAAATACTGCCAATTACTCAGACACAATTACTGTAAATTCTGTGATGGAGGACTCACAGAAGGGAGTTCGAACTAGTGGGGGCCAGGCTCAGTAAGCTGAACCCTGCAGAAGCCCTCATTTTCAGTGCTCTGTATGGCAGCATGGACACGTTTTTGTGAGTGTTACATGCTTTCTTATTCCTCCTAGCCTTCTGAAGGATGTTGAGCCTATAGCCCCTTCAGAGAGAGAAAGGACCAGCCACGTTACCAGCGAGCATGGCTTCATTACATTTGAGGAATGATAGCATTATTCATTTTAGATTTTCTCTCTCTTTTTAAATGTGAGCTCAGAGCAAATGCTCTACCATTGAACTACCTCCCTCTTTCCTGCCCTAATTTTTGTTTTAAATTAGAAGTATAAAGCCAGGCGCTGGTGGCTCACACCTGTAATCCTAGCTACTCAGGAGACTGAGATCTGAGGATCTCGGTTCAAAGCCAGTCCGGGCAGGAAAGTCCATGAGACTCTTATCTCCAATAAACCACTGGAAAACCGGAAGTGGCGCTGTAGCTCAAGTGGTAGAGCGCTTGCCTTGAGCTGAAGAGCGCAGGGACAGTGCCCAAGCCCAGAGTTCAAGCCCCACGACCAACCAAAAAAAAATAAGTATAGAATGTTAGGACAAAGGTAGAAAGATAGTAGGAACTCCATAAGAGTAAACTTCATCGAACTATTCTATTTCCAGAGAGAGAGAGAGAGAGAGAGAGAGAGAGAGAGTGTGTGTGTGTGTGTGTGTGTGTGTGTGTGTGTGTGTGTGTGTGTGTGTGTGTGTGTGTGTGTGTTCTTAACCAAGATTTCTGACTTGAGCTTGTATCATTAAGCAGCCTCAATCAGAGGGGAGCGCCCACTGGCTATGAGGAATGTGACCTAATACAGACCACATCACAGCTAGCGCTCAAGTCCATTCCTCACCAGATATCCTTCGAGAACAGAATTAGTGAGCCTAACTTAAACATCTTCCTGACATGTATCTGGGTTCCTGTATGTGGTGTTTTGCATATATGCCATCAAGCATCGTTTATTGGTGTAATTCTATTGATTAGGTTTTGTTTGCTTTGTTTATACTGAAACGTTGGTCATTGTTGGCAGGGGATTGTCAGTTGCCAGCATCTTATTAAGTTAACATGTTCCCTGAGCAGTGAACAGCCTGTGCAATGTCAGTGACCAGAAGCTTCTCAAGTGCAGAGAAGTGTGACCTCCGGGAGTCAGAGTATCAGCCTTAGCTATAGTGTTTTCAGTATGGTTAGGCTTTGGTTGCATGAAATCCTGAGTTCGCAGGTCAGGAATTTATCCTGCCCTTAGTAAGCCTCATGTTTTATTAATAATAGTGAGAGACATTATGTGTCTCATTATTCACGTTCAGAGCATCTTCGCAAGTCAGACATGGAGTGTCCACTTCTTGCCAGAAGTAGCCCCGGAAGCTAGGGCTGTAGCAGTAAGTGGGTGAGATCCCTTTTCCCTCCAGGAACCCCCTGTACCTGTTGGTGTTGGTGCTGCTCATCCTCCCAGCTCTCCTTCTGCACTTGGGAGGACATGAGACATACAAGCTGTGGTGTATGTTACCTTCTCCATAATCTTGCTCTTCAGTTCTTCACAGTTATTTTCTTTGTTGCTAAGCATTTAAGTCTTCAGTTACTATTTCTTTACACCCTTACATTTCTGCCACCACTTTTTGAAAAATATCTAGGGCCTATTTATAGAGGGGTGTGTGTATGTGTATGTGTACGTGTGTACATATGTATGTGTGTACGTACATGTACACCAATACCAGGGCTTGAAACTAGGGTCTTGTGCACTCTGGCTTGCTCACAGCTATTGCTCTATCACTTGAACACACCCCTAGATTGGCATTTTGCTGTTTAAATGGAAATGGAGTCTTGCAAACTTTAATGCCTGGGCTGGCTTTGACCACATGGGCCATCAGCACCCAGTTCAACAAGTGTTAACTTTTGGGCTGGGAAGGTGGCTCAGTGGCAGAGCGCTTGCCTTGCATGCCTGAGGCCCTGGGTTCGATTCCTCAGCACCACATAAGCAAAATGAAAAAAAGCTGGAAGTGGCGCTGTAGCTCAAGTGGTAGAGCACTAGCCTTGAGCTGAAGAGCTGAGGGACAGTGCCCAGGCCCAGAATTCAGGCCCCATGACCGGACCAAAACAAAAAACAAAAAAACAAGTGTTAACTTTTGAAAAGACTGCTTCAAGTTTCATGAACAGATTCCAGAAAACCTGGGGATCCATAGTTATGACTAAGCTAGCAGTGAGGACGCCTTGACAGCCACAGAAATACTTTTTTTTTTTTTTTTGCTGGTCATGGGGCTTGAACTCTGGGCTTGGGTGCTGTCCCTGCACTCTTCAGCTCAAGGCAAGTATTCTACCCCTTGAGCCACAGCACCACTTCCGGTTTTCTAGTAGTTTATTGGAGATAAGAGTCTCATGGACTTTCCTGCCTGGGCTGGCTTTGAACTGTGATCCTCAGATCTCAGTCTCCTGAGTAGCTAGGATTACAGGCATGAGCTACCAGGGCCTGGCTCATAGAAATACTTCTTAGGGTATGTGCATCTTAGTGTTTTTTCTGAAGGACTAAAGAGAAAAAGTTATTGTAAATCTGTCTACTTTTCTTTCTAAACTCAGGTGGTAGCTCTGAGAGCATGCCTTATGATTCATATAATCCAAGGTGAAAGTATACATTAGATTTATCTTCTTTGTGGAGTTTGTAGGAGTCTGGCATTCTGTAATTCTTAGGGATCCAGCTTAGAAAGCCACTACAGAAAGTAATTTTCATGTCTGATGTCTGTCAACAAGACATCTGAGATATATTGACAGTGTGGGAGGACATCTTTTGAACTCCTATTAGCTTTGACCTATCAGTGAGTATAATACTATTTACCTTGAGTCACAGTTCCTCATATGAAGCAGACAAAGGGGTGGTGAGATGTCCTGCACTTCTATAAGATATGCAGTTTTAACACAAAGCTTTTGCTTTAGACTCCCTTTAGACAAACTCCCTCTCTCTCACCCCTGCAGCCGCTGTGTGTTTCACGTCTGGCACCTTGATCAGCTGCTGATATTCTGTAAGCTGCTCCAGTTCTCTGCATCATTTTGCTCCCAGCTTCCTCTGTGCTGAGATGGTAGAGAACTCTGTGCTCCCCAAGCACCTTTCTAATGCATGCATTGGCACAGTCAGCTTCAGCATCGTACATATTTTATCCTGGGATTAAGCATTGCCCTCTCTTGAGCTGCCTGGCCTTATCCCACTGTTCTTCCAGGCCAGGTCTATCAGCTCTTTTTTTTTTTCTTGGCTTGAACTCTGGGCTTAGGCGCTGTCCCTGCACTCTTCAGCTCAAGGCAAGCACTACTACTTGAGCCACAGCACCACTTCCAGTTTTCTAGTGGTTTATTGGAGATAAGAGTTTCATGGACTTTCCTGCCCAGACTGGCTTTGAACCGTGATCCTCAGATTTCAGCCTCTTGAGTAGCTAGGATTACAGGTGTCAGCCATTGGCGCCCGGCTGGTCTGACAGCTCTTGCTCGCTGTTTTTTTTTGTTTGTTTGCTTTTGTTTTTGTTACTTTGTTTTGTTTTGTTTTTGGCTGATCCTGGAGCTTGAACTCAGGGCCTGGTGCTGTCCCTGAGCTTCATTTGTTCAAGGCTCTCTAACACTTGAGCCATGGCTCCACTTCTTGTTTGTTTTTTGTTGTTGTTGTTGGGGGGGGTTGGTAATTTATTGGAGATAACAATATCATAGACTTTCCTGCCTCTGTTGGCTTTGAACCAGGATCCTCATATCTCAGCCTCCTGAGTAGGTAAGATTACAAGCATGAGCTACCAACACCGGCTTGCTTACTTATTTTGATTTTTTTTTTTTTAATACTAGTAGTGGGGCTTGAAATCCAGGCCTGGACTCTGCT